TCCGTACCTACACCCTCAAAGGCTCGCGTGCATCTAACGCGATCTGGCGGTAAATCTGCCATTAAGGGTTGTTGAAGCCGAGGCTTGGCCCTAAAACATTGTACGCATTGAAAGGTGACAGTGCGCGTTAACCGACGAACGGATAGTATCCAATAATTTCTGGAAAGTATTGCTGCTATAGCATTGGCACCTACATGACAATGTAATTTATGATGATCCCGATGCTCGTAAAAGAAGCCTTGTAAACTCTCCCTTTCCCGGAAGTAAGATAAGATGCCGCGCCGAATAAGGTAGTTCTGAATGCCGAATTCGTCCGCCTACCCTGATCACACCATCACTATCCACAAACAAATAAAGTTTTCGCGCCGAACCACGAATCGCCTTGCCTGATTTTAAGGCCCTTATATATTCACCAAAATGTGAACCTTGAACCGACCGAATTAAATAAGTTAACGCCAAGCGACGTTCCAAAACCGAAATATTTTTACCGAAGGAATAAGAGACCGAAACATTTTTGCCAAAAGATGTTTACCGCCGACAATTATTTATAAACTTAATAATATTGACAACCGTATCAAAGGAACCAAACCGACCAAACAGGTCCGAAATAACATCCGAAGCCGAAACTGTAACCGCCACACACCGTAACCGTAAGCCAGGTAAATCTGAAAGAGCCTCCGCATGCTCGTCGGGCCAGGACTAACGTGATCGACGGAGCCACTGGGGTTTCCACCATAATGGATTCTGTAAGAGCTGGGCAGCTGAACAACCCCGAGACGCAACATCCGTTCAATTGAGAACACCGTGTACATGTCTCCATTGAATAGGTAGGTTCGCATTATTAATTTGCGACACTCGATTACCTTGAAAAACTTCTAATTTGTTAGGTGGAGTACCTAACCATGCTAGTACAATAATAGTGCTATCGTACCAACCAATGATATCCGATATAATATCCGAGAGATTACACAAAGCCGAAAAAACATGTTTTAACAGATTTACTAAAAGTACTGCTCCGCTGAGCTCCAACTGAGGTATAGTCATTTTCATTTTTAATGGAGCCACCCGAGACTTAGCCATTATTAGCCGGACCAAAGCGTCACTATTTCCATTTTCTGTACGCAAGTAGAGAGCGGCAGCGTAGCCCGAAGAAGAACCGTCACAGAATCCATGAAGGGAAAGCAACTTATCATTGTGGGACTTTAAACACCGAGGAATGGAAATCTTTTGAATAAATGGTAAGTCCGAAACAAACTCATTCCACTTTAGGACCAATTGTTCAGGAGCTGGCGTACCCAATCCACACGCCGTGCCCCATCACTGAACAACTCTTGCAGCAATAGCTTAGCACGAAAAACAATAGGACATATCCAACCTAAAGGTTTTGCTAATGAGGAAAGTATGCTACGCCGGGTGACCGTCTCAGTTCCCGAAGGTAAGTTCCTGATTTTATAAGTAAAAGCATCTGTCGAAGGGTTCCATTCAATGCCTAACACTTTAATAAAACCTCTGCTGTCACTATCCTCAAAACAACGAGGTATCTCACAATGATCATCCGGAATGTCATTAAGGAGTAAAGGTTCATTCGATGCCCATTTTCGCAACTCATAACCGGCCGTACTCATGAGTTGTACTAACTCGTCCCGAAGCTCACGAGCGTCTACAAGTGTGTCAGCACCTCCATTAAGGTCATCCACGTATGTATTGTTAAGTAGCAACTTAGCTGCTCTGGGAAAGCGTTCCATTTCATCCGTAGCTAATTGATGCAAACAACGTATTGCAATAAATGGACTAGACTTCAACCCGTAAGTGTTAGTGGTAAGTTCATAAATCCGCAACGGCTCCGATGGATTTTCACGCCATAGGATCAGCTGATATCTGCGATCATCCGCATGTTTATTAGTTTAAACTATAATATTAATATTTACTTTATTAAAGTATAATATTTTATCAATTATAAAACTATTATATTATTATTTTTCTATATTAAGATAGGTGTATCTTTTATTCCCAAAATACAAGTAGCGGTCGGTGGAATGTACCGATAGTAACACAACTATGACTGCATTTTTGGTGACACTGTTAGTGGGGATTACTAGAATAAATCTATGTAATCAGACCTATACTTTTTTTTAATAATTGATCCAATTTTGATACCTTTTCTTTGAAAGCCTATTGAAGTGAATCTTATAATAGTACTGCGTGTTATAATTTTTAATTGTCAAGGTGGTAGTTAATGGATTTTTGGAGTGTTTTGTTGTTTATGATATTATGCAACTACTTATATCAAAATAAAGCCATTTCATTTTCGTTTTGACATAATTTGGTTATAAAAAATAAGTAACTGTAAGTTGCAAAACATCACTTCCGTTTCAGCAGGTGTTAGGTATAAAGAAATAACTTAAGTAAGTAAAAGTACTTATGCAATGTTGACCTCCGTTCGGTAGTAGGGAGGCGAGTGAAACACGAATATACATTTTTCAAATGTGATAAGTAAACTTGCCAAAGCGTTGCCATTCGTCCGGATAAAGCCGGGCAGTGTTAGGATTTTTATTCTCTTGTCCGGGCCAGTTTGACTGCGTCCGGTTCGTCCGGCTTTTGTTAGTCTTTTTTCTATTGACGCCAGCAAGCCACACAATTCATTCTACCCGAGTTCGCTCGTTGTTCAGACGAGACGAGTAAAGAAAAATATGCAAATTAAAATTATAATACCAATTAAAACTTTTTTTATAAAATACATTAATTTTAATTGAACTTTCGGTAAAAAAAAAACTTTTTTTTGCGTCCGTCTTGCCATTGGACATGTTCAGTTTTTTTGGAGGGTAAGTCCGGTACTCTGATTTTAGGAGATAGAAACGCTACTTGCCATTGATTTACTTCTGTATTTTTTACCATAGCGTTAACTACTAAGGTCCATAAACCTTTTGCTTATCAATATCAATTTAAAAATGACCAGAGCGCAATGACACAATGTTTCTGAGTTGCGTGACCAATTTGGAACACCAACGTAACGAGAGTAATCGGCGTGTTCCAATATCTACGTATAACTGCAACGACGACCTTGAGCCGTTAAACTTTTGCTTTGGCCCACAAATGGCGGAAACAATAGAAGGGTATGTCCGGCAATGTGTACAGGGAAAGGTATAGATAGGGTCTGAATCAAAATTGGTTGAATTATATTTTTGTAATTACGATGCGATGAAAGTCAACCCACCCCACTTATGGAATTTCCGTTGCGAATTTAGCTGATGCGACATAAAAGTGTGCCACGCCCACCTTTTCCTCCTTGTCAGCTTTAATTCAATCCCCTACTCTGCTACTGTATCTGTATAACCTAATGAAATCTTACTAGCAAAAGTATGTGTTGTTCAACGATAGCTTATGTAAGGTGGAGGTTACTTTCCCAAGCGGGCGTTTCAATTAGAGCAGTAATATACGCCACTTTTTTTATAAAAAACAATATCACTCAGCCGTTTAAAGTCACGGTCAGAAATACTCTATCTGCTTAATTCATCCGACTCTCTCGATGAATGATTTTATCTGTTTTTAATTTGCGGTAGCTCAATACCACTACGCCACTGTTAATAGTTATTTTATCTCGTTAATGAGTTAATCATCTGTAAAGATTAACTACTACTACTACTACTACGTCATAAATTGCAATTTTAAAAACTTACCAGAACGAAATCTAGGCTCAATAAGATTAACTTACATCCTCTTCAAAACTATGTTGATTGATCTCGAGTTCATTGGACTTAAGCAAAACCTCAGATCAAATAAAAAGTTATAGATCTGAGCAAAAAATATAGACAGGTTACTTACGTATTTTTTGGGTACCTGTACAAGATAACGCAGATAATTACCTAATAATGCTATCTTAAGCAAATCCTAATATTTATTATTCAGTATTGATTCGTTCGTTAGTAATTGAAATTCAGATAAAAAAGAAGAGTTTATATTTAAAGTTGACAGCTAAGTAATAACATAGTTTAGTTGTGATTCAGTTAAAATGTACATTTTTTATCAGTTACCTACGTTAGTATTTTTAACGAAGGGAAAACTTTAATATAAAGGTAACTAATTACAAAAATTGTACTGCGGCTGACAAGACCGTCAGTATAAAAAATATTGTCATCCTGTAGCTACATTATCATTTTTTTATAATATAAAAGAGTTTTACACCATAGCATTAATCTAAGGATTTGCTTTTGATTAAGTTGTTCCAAAATATTGCCTGGTAAACATTATTTTTAACACCATAGTAAGTATTCAAACTTTTTATTAATAATTATGTTTAATGGTATTTTTTTATCTTTTCTTTCTTTCAAATTAAATCAGAAGGTGTCAAGACAGTATTTTACACATTTTATACGACTTCTTCGTCAACTAAGTTCCTATTTTTGATGACATAGGTCTTTCATAGAAAATAAAGTAGATTAAACGTCATGAACATGAAAACTCAACAAAATATATAGTTGCGATTTAAAACTTGGGTTACGATCGTTCAGTTCAGAGCTTACTCTGGCACTACATGGTTTAAGAGATACTTTTATGGATAGACACTGGATCGATCGATCGTTTTTTTTCATTCATCATTAGCATGCCATTTAATAATTCAATTTAATAAATCAAATTAATAATTCAATCTTAGAAACAACAAGGTGGTAGAAAGCTCGCCTGCTACGCGGAAGGCCTGGGTTCGATTCCCGGGGGAGGAAGGACTTTTTTATTTAAAAGTTTCATTTGTATCGTGGTTTAATTAAACCACACCAATATATTTTCATATACACTGATTGTTAAATGCAGAAGGTAGCTATTACATTACACACGAAAACGCAGAAAACATGATAACCGGAAAGTAATTATTGCACCTGTTTCACTAAAAGTTATTATTTATTTTGTATATTAATATAGTGTTTTTATCATTGAAAATGAAATACGTGTATGTGTTTACTCGAATTACTTATTCAAGTGCCAACGGTTATTATAGTATGGTACTTGCTATGCTTAAGCCCTATGTCCTATTAGTAGACACTTAAATCCGTTAACACGTATCACGCACGACAAAGTTGCGAAACAACGATTTCTCTTTCACGAGTGTGTCAGATTTGATCTGCCTGAACGTATTATACTTTTCATTCACAACATTTTCAATATCAAGACCTTCAAGTGTACTGTTGGCGCGTGCTCACATTTCACAATAGAGGCAGCCTCCTACAGACCTGTGAATTGTCTCCTTCGAACCTTAGCGTCAGACGGTCACCCCTAACCGTAAAGAAATGTACACAGATAGCTAATTCTTCGACTAAGACATTTGACTTATATGTAACAATTGAAGTGAGTTTATTTGTAATGCCATGCAAATAAATGTTAGATGACATGTGTAGTCTGTGGTGTAGTGTGGTGATCCTTTTATTCAGTTCATAGCAGCAGACGGTACTATACTTGCTTTATGAAATGGGTGTAAATAAATTATGGTAAGTTAGAGCATTATTTTCTATTAAGATTATTAGAAAGATAAGAAACTGTTACTAATCTACGCTTTAAAATTTTACGCACTTGTTGCAATATCAAAGGTATTAGAAATTATTTCTCTACATTAAATTTCTTTTTAATTTATGAGCATATAGAATAAGTTTTTATATTTAAAAACAAAGACTTAAATAACTGTGAAGAAGTGTCTGTTTTTTAAATTACGCCAGTATTTTTTTATATTTCACGAAATACAAATATCTTTTTTATCGCAATTAGCACTTGGGTATTTTATCAACGTCTTTACATAGTTATCATTAAATATCTTTATAATTAATTGGGCGCCGGCTGTGTCATCAGTTTGGATCAAGTTCAAGTTTACCTAAACATAGCGCTGTGGGAAAGTGTGGGTTCATAATAACACTGCTTCCCCCAATGACCAAATGTTACTAGGTCCGTCCTTATGTCGACGATTATGATTCCTAGGTTTGGCAGTTGAGGAAATAAATAAGTAACTTTGTAGTCTCAAATCTGGGTGATTGTAGTTCCGTCTTTGATTCTTGTAACGATAAAGAAATTTGCTAAACTTTACCTTGAGGCAAATGTGTATCTAATAAAATATAAATAGTTAATAGTTTTAAAATAAATACCTAAGTACTTGATACTGCTACTTCATTCGTTCTTTGATGAATATTAATTAATTTTGCTGAGTTCAAGTCAGGTGAAAAAAGGATCCGTGACTAATTAAAATGTTTATAGAAAAACCGTTGAAAGAATTGTGATGTTTTCAGAGTTAATTTTGATTTGGATATGGTAAAGGAATCCTTAGATCATCGCGAATTTAACATGATAAGATTTTTTATACCAAATAATTTAATTAAAATACTAATTTAAAAGCTGTAAACAGTTTAGTTCGGTAAAATCACGAACTTCTCTTGTAATATAGGTAAAATGACAAAAAAAGTAAGAATAGCTAATACATCATCACGTTGAATAAAAATCTGTTTACTCAATCTGGGTCAGATCATTTACAAAAGACTCCATCTTTATAATTTCGTGTATCACTTAATTTTTTTTGTGCATATTGTCGTAATGGGCTTTGTTAGCCAAGGATTTAATATTTTTTTTTGCAACAGTATATAATTATTTCGAGACTTTCTATTTGATATAAAAGTAAACGTAATGTCATTGAACGCATTAGTGTTAAATGTGTCCAACAAAAAATTTATATCTAAATATACTTACCCACAGCAAAGAGGTAAATATCTAGATACGCCCTACAATATCACAATGATTTCTATAGAAACACGTAGCAAGAATGATTGACTTTAGATGAGTAAGCTCACTAACCTAAAAAAATGGAAAATCCAAAAGTGCACACCTCACATTCACAGAACAGAAACCGAATAAATAAATTCCATTGAATTTCATTAAAATCCTTAAAACGGTTATCAGTTCAATCATGATAAGAAATAGGGTTCATCCTCAGTATAAGAGGAAATTAATTCAAAAGGATTTATTACAATTAATTGCGTATATTTTTCTAAAACGTACAGACAAACAAGTGCACAGACCAACGGAGAGCAGTACTAACAATTTTTTAACTACATTTTTTTGATATATATACTAAAAAAATAAATGAAAAAATACGCTGATTTTATATTGTAAAATCGTCACATAGCGGCCTATCGAGAGTAAAGCACTCCCACACGCTTGCGCGTTGTGAGGCGTGCAAAAATGAGTAAGAGTTGTCACTTAATTTTTCCCATAACTCACAGGCAAACGTTATTGCTCTACTTTTTATAGATATCTAAGGATGTAGACTAGGAATGGGCAAATTATCGTGCCTAAATTTACTATCAGAATCTAAATGCGGGCCAAGTTGTTGTACACCACTTACGATTTGCACCCCTCCAAGAATTTGTAAATTAAATCAAAATATAGCTCAGTAACGAATGGCCCCACACCCTACAGCTAGCATTGCGCAGGGTAAGTACGCCTCTGAGTTTGCTGAGAAGTAAATAGGTAGGTTCCAGGTTCGGCAGCTAATGGTCCATGTCAGAACATGTGAAAAAGGTACTCTTTAGTCTTTGGTGAGAAACTTTGATTTTTTTTGATGGTCGCGGGCCGGATTTCTACCATTCGGGGACCCGAGATGGCCCGCGGGCCGTAGTTAGCCCATTCCTGATATAGGCAAAAGCGTAAGCTAGAGTTGAGGCATTCCGATTTTATGGATTAAGGTAAAAGTTAAAGGTCTCTATTATGATATCTATACATATAGATAATTCGATTAAATAGCGGATATAATATGTTCGTTTACGAATTACAATTTTATAGTTATTGTAATAAAAAGGCATTTTATAAGAAAAAAATAAACTCAGGTTAAGTATTAGGCTGGATTCAAACCAGAGTCTTTCGTTTGCCAGGCGAATATGAGCATATTATGCTACAGAGACCGTCATAATGGGCGGTATCAAAAAAAATCTTGTGTATCATAGCTGCAAGGCAGCCAAACTTTTTGTATAAAATAAAATTTCCCTTAGACGTTAAAACTTAAAAAGCTTAATGCTTAAAATAAAAATATGTACCTACCTATATCTAAGATAAATATTACTTAGGTACCTACATTGGCATTTTCTTCTTTCAAATGTTTGACACGTGTAACAGGATATGGCATTTTCATTTCGCATTGTAGTTGGAAGTAGCGCTGCCTTGCAGTGTAAGTTATGTTGTTGAATTTTTCTCGTAAAAAATGTGTTAGATGTAAAAACCTAGCAAGCTATTGCTTAAAAAATATAAGAAAAGCAATAGGTAAAGTACGATACTATAATTATATTTAATGGTTATAAAGGAGACTATTACAAAACACATTAAAATAGTATTGACTCGGCATTGTTTAAAATAATTGAATGGCTTAATTTCAATAATTTGAAATCAAACATATAAAAAAAAACAAAATAAAATTCGGGCCAAATAAAAGTAAACATCATAAACTTAATATTGGCTTAAATGGTCAAATGATTGAAAATATTTCACAATCAAAGTTTTCGGGCATAATTCTAGACAGCTTCTGTGACTGGAAGCAACATGCACATGAATTATGACCAAATTATTATAACTTATTGTTCCTGTATATATTTATGTTTTAAGACACTAACATTTATATGTAAACAATAAATTTTAAAATCAGACAATCATACATTCTGATTAAGAAATTAAGAATCGTATAAAATTATATTATATTATTATTATATGATTATGACCAAAACTTAACAAAAATGTATTTGTACTTAGTCAAATTGTATCACAAGATGTTTATATTACAGCTTACTATGGCTATATATATTCTGCCTTTAGTTTTATTTGGGGTAATTCTGTTCATACAGCCTTTTAATACATAAAAAAATGAATTCATGCTACATTTGGTTTTGAAGCAAATTGAATCTTGTCGACCTTACTTTAGAAACTATAAGCTGTTGTTGCCTTTTACTTGTCTGTATATTCTTAATATATATGAACATTTGTACACCAACCTAGGTATTTATATAAAGGGAATCATCAAATCACTAAACGAAATATACGCTCAGTTTATAAGAATGAGCTCCATAGGCCTGCTATAAAATTGTCTTTGACAGCTAAAAAACTTTTATTATGTAAATTAAAATTTACAATAAATTACTAGACAAGTTTAAAGAACTAAAACTTAAAAAAAACTTAATGATTGGCTGAGCCAAATATATTTTCATAGTATCAAACATGTATCAAAGAGTACTTAGAAAATGGGTAAAAATTTATCTTGTAAATAAATTCAAATCATACCTATAATATAAATGTGTATACACCTGAAAAGGTAGGATCAAGCGGTACTGTATTTTAGCATTAAGACCTGTATTTATATATCCATACAAAATAAAGATTTATATTATTAAATGAAAAACTACGTTCTTAAGTATCTCTGTGAGTTAGCAACACAGACAGGGCTAGTAAAATCGATAAAGTACAAGGAAAAATTTAATTGAATAAAATAAAGTAACCTAATATATAAATATCGTTTACATAGAAAGTAATATATAATGTAATATAGTAGTAAATGTGTACATAATGCTACCAAGAAAGATATAATTATGCAGAATGTGTAAGGATAGGAAAATTGAATATAAAATTACGAAAAGATAATTCTTTTATTAATGAATAATGTGTTTTCAGGTCAAGTTTGTGGTTTCTTCTGTCATTTATTGCATCGATGAAAGCACAGCATCGGTCAAACGTCGTATTCATCATGGTGGATGACATGGTATTATAATTTTAAAATATACACAGATGCTTAATTAACTTCGTAGGTTGTCTTTCATATACTACTTCCATACTTTAATTTCAACTTCATATTATTTTTATACTTACGAGTATAACAAAAAAAACATTTTTACTTAAATGACAAAAAAGTTTTTATTTCGTTGAAGATTTTTTGGATGAAAAAGCAATGAATGAAAAAAGCAGTTAAGAACCTACTTCCTGGTTAGATAATTTCAAATCTTATCACGATGCAACGATTTGAGAATTAAAATATATTTTCAAATTTCAATCACAATATCAGAATTCCTATTTCGAATTACGATAAGTAAGTTTTACCTACAATTCGCGGTCGTAGCTTGTAGATAAGTATTTTTCAACTGCAGAGCTAGTCTGTAAAATTTTACCGACTTTTTTTATTGACTTCATAAATGATGAGGTTCTCAACGCAACTGTAAGTTTTTTTTTGTTTGGTTTTTACGCAATTTCTCCGTTGATTTAGGGCCGGTTTTCGAGGTATACCCATAGAAAAATTTACATGATCTGATCAAGGACTTCGGAGATGAGGAAAGTAACATTTCGTAGGATCACATCAGAACATTTTTAATAAGTAATATTGCTTTGCTTGTACATTTAGTCGATGGCTAACTGCAATTGGGCGATGGCTAAAAACTAAAAAATACCGACTTCATAAAAACAATCCATTGAAAATTAAAAAAAAAAGTTCTTTACTTATATTCAAAGTACATTTAAAGTCAAATAACATTTGGATTAGGTGCCATGCATGTTGATAGATTTATCAACATGCCTGGCATATGCATGAAGTCGGTTATTATTTTTGTTAAAAAAGATTTTTCATAATGTCAATTGATAAGTATCGTGATGGGAGTTAAGTTGTTTATTGAAGCTGTGAATAATTCTAATTCTAGAAAAAAATATAGCAACAAAATATTTCGCATTTCATAATAACCAGATAATTCTTAATTAAAATAAATATTGAAAAACTTGTAAGTATATATACTTAAATAATTTTATAATGCAAATAGGCTTTTGTGATTAATGCAACCATCATCTACTACCACTGCCATACAACACAATTACTGTTACCTACTAACCTGACGATGATTTGAATAACAAGTAACCACTTAGCAAGTAGCCAATTAAAGGCCAGATTAATTTTAACTCAATGATTAAAATAGTCACGCTAAAAGAAAAAGACACTAATTATTATGATTCTCTTATAACCTACTGTGCATCACCTACATACATTCATCCGTGGCGTTTCGTCTGAAATGATATAGAAATTGCTATATAAAAACTTAAATGATTTTCTGAAAGGGGATTTTGATATATTATGGACACTTCTTTTAGTAAATAAACATTATCGTCATCATTAATATTACTGGATTCCACTTCGGTATTAACGTTTGGAATGTATTTAACTGGTCAACATGACTTTTTGCCGTTTATCCAATTGTACTTTTTTTGGTATCTTTAATAAATAAAATATTAGGGCCTAGCTTCACAAACTCTACTAAGTCAAAATATGTGGCTTGGCCGTTTAATTACTAAAAGAACTATTGTATAACAGAAAAGTAATAAACAGTGGATAAAACAGAGTGTGTTAGGCCTTGGCAGAGTTAGGGTGTGAAGACAGAAGCTCGACTCTACATGAGGTCATAACTTTATGGCAGTGCGCGTCATGTGTCACGTCTTGGCAACATTTAACATGAAAACGTTTTTCGTGGGATTCATGAATTCACCTTGTAATTTGCCACCTAAGTGTATTGACTGGCCTTTTAACAACATGTATTTACCTAGTATATATTTAGCCAGCCAGTTCCAAATAATATTGTATTAATGAATCCATTCGACACTCTCAACTCTGAAACTGGGCCAAGAAAGAAATTCCTCCACCCTCACACAGTGTCGATCTGGGGCTTGTAAGTAAGGAAGTAATGAAATATTTTTTCAACACATTTGCACAAAAAATGCATTTGAGGAAGTTTTGTATACATTGTTCGAAAGTTAAAAGATGTAGTTTTATTTTTCTTCACCCGCACGTGGCGCCATTTGGAAATACGCCACATTTTCATTTACTATAAATAGTTTGCTTCATTACTTAAATTAGGCACCTACAATGTTTTTCTCGCAAATGTGTTGGAAAACGTTGTACAACAGTCGTGCGGAATTGGTATTTATAAACTCGTGACTAAGGTAACATTCGTCTAGTTTGTAATAACTAACTTACCGCACTAATATAATAAATAACTGTTGTCGCCTTCTGTAACAAGCGTTTCGGTCATATAATTGGGTCTCCGAACACTGTTAATGTTTGTGATAAATTGATGATCATTAATTCTTTATTGTTGTCAGGGATGGAATGATGTGTCATTTCATGGATCAGATCAGATCCTCACACCGAATATTGATACGTTGGCGTACCGCGGTGTCATTTTACATCAGTATTACAGCGAGGCTATATGCACTCCCGCAAGGACAGCTCTTCTCACGGGGAAATACCCAATGAGATTAGGTAAGATACGTCTCTTAAATAATAACCCATTTACATTAAGAAACTAGATACATGTATTAAACGTCATGTTAGTATCATGAAACCATTCATGCAAATATTAATGCTAACATACGAATTACATGCTGTAACTTTACACCCATGTATGATATAAGATACTCTTAATAATATGCCTTTCGGTTTTTAAAGAGCTTCAAAATTGCGATACTATAAGACGAAAAATATTGATGGATTGGTATGCCCGCTCTTGCTGACATATCGTATGGGTTTCCTTCAAAATATTTCAAATTGTAAGTACGGAAGGCATTTTATGTAACTGTAGAGCAGAGTGGCAAAAAATTATATACGGAATTAAAGAAATAATATTTTTATTTAATAGAAGTTGAGTCAAAGTTCTTATTTGAAACAGTGACAATAGTTGCAATAGTTTTCTTAAGATACAATTCCCAGGCGACAACCGCAGCCGACACTGCGGCTAGCGCCGCAGGCTGACCGTGCATAATATGCATTGTGCAGCCGCGGCATGTCGCCGCGCTCGGAATCAATTTCATAGAGATTCATAGAAACTAGTAGTGTCGCCTGCAGACTGCAGCTGCAGCCTGTGGTCTGCGGTTCGGACTTGTACCTTTAATCTACGCTGACCATTGAAAGTTTACTCCATCTGCCTAGGGAAGGAAACAGCTGTATGTGGTTGTGGATATATGTATATTTATTAAACTCCTAGTCTGTCTTAAGAGTATTAGCCAAGATTCTAAGTTTATTCAAAGCTTTAAAATAATACGGTCTAGTTTTCAGTAATTTGCATTTTGATTTTTTGTGACAGATGAAGCAGGATATATTAATATTCCATTTCATGCTAAAGGAAAACACTATCAACAAAAACTCTACTAATCGTAATTACGATAATGATGTATGTAAGCGAGATAAAATCTTAAAAGCTCGGTGGACGTTGCTAAAAACGATTTTGTAAATAAAAAACAACATCTACGTATTATATAAATCATACTACTTTTAATACTTACGTCACATTGATTGTTGTGTGATTGAACTTAATGAGAGATGAAGTTATAAAGTAGCTGATGTCCGAGACTTTGTATGCAGGAGATTAACCTCTTTCTGTAAGTCTGTGGGACTTAAAGAGTTATTAATTACTTGCAGGGCCGATTTTCAAGTTCCATACCATAGAACAACACGGCCGACGTGGCCAGGAGTTGGAGTTTCGTGTTCCTCTATGCTCCGTATATAAAGGGTGACAAAGGAACCCTATTATTAAAAATCTGTTGACTGACCGTCTGTCAGGGCTAAATCTCATCAATTGTAAATAAGCAGACAATTCAAATTTTCACTGACTTTATTTTACTAAAAAATATAATTAAAAAAATTAAACGAGTGCCCCTCATTAAAAAAAATAAAATGATTAAGAAAAATTGCAGGTATGCAAGGGTTCCCACTATATAATTCGGAAGACAGAGGTATACCTCTAACGGAACGCCTTCTACCCTCTTACCTGAAAGAGTTGGGTTATTCCACGCACCTGGTGGGTAAATGGCACGTGGGAATGTCCAGGAAGGAGTACTTACCCACTTCTAGAGGGTACGACACTCATTACGGCATGAGAGGAGGGTTCATCGACTATTACACTTATAATAAAGTGGAAAGAGTAAGTATTTTCTTATTGACTTCAAAAAGAGGGGTTTCTCAATTCTTTTCTTTTTATTTCTAAACTCAACCGCTTATTTTCATAGTACAATCAGAACAAAACTTTATTCAATAAATCTTGCTAGTTACAGAGTTTGTTTCACAGCATGACCTTTTGGTCGGTATTTTTTTATAGGCAAACTTTTCAAGCCTAAGTTTGCACTCTTACCTATTGTGTAACTGTGAGTGTGCTCGCAATACTTACGGTTTCAATTTACAGTAAGTTCAAATACAATGCTGCTTTAATGAAATCCATTGTGGCAGGCAACTGAGTTCAAATGCCAGTAAATAATACGTTTTATTTGATAAAAAAAGCTAGATTGAATTATTTGTAAAATTTTCGTGATAAGTTAGTTTTTTTAATAAGTACCTACTACCTACTAAAATGTTTTTTTTGTGTTTTCGTGAACGATAATTTTATATTGTCGGTACAATATTTGACAAACAAAAATCGTAAAAACCCTTTTGTGTTTATCCACCACAATGTATGTATAACCACCACAATGGCTAAGGTTATCAGAAAAATGGTTTTCCTATTGAAGTTAAATAAACTGCGTTTGTATTTAGATCAAATACGCGATTTTCCTTAGGAGTTTAAACACAACATGTAAAATAGGTATTTAATTCATATCAAAATAAATCTGTTACAGTGGCCGGACGGCAGATTACTGTTCGGTATGGATCTGTATGATAACGATATACCTCAAGATCAAGAGAATCGGTATATCGTCGATGCTCTCACAGACAGAGCTGTCAAAAGTAAGTTGGTAAACTTTTTTTTATTAACCCAGATTATCCTACTGTCCTATATTTAGTACGGTAAATTATAAAAATATAACTAAAAACTCACAAATGTTTGGCATAGGAAAGATTATAAATAATGTAGAAGATACTTTTTGGCATTGTAATAAAAATATAACATTGGAGTTTACTTTGTTTTTATTCTAAATATTTAATAGTAAAATGCATAATCAGTGTCAGTTGTAGACACACCTATGAAAATGTAACGACTGCAGATGCAACCTGAATTGCCTTCTGAAGCACGGAGGAGATAAAGATAATACATATTTAAGTCACCCATCCTGTGACTGGCTAATGAAATATGCTTAAACTTCCACGAGCTACTCATTATCTTTTGAATAAATTATACCAATTGCTAATAGCCCGCGACTTCTTCTGCATGAAATAATTGAATTCAGACACGAACTTTCATAATCTTCAATTTTCTTTGAACGACAAAATCTAGTCTATATCCTTATCAGAGGTCACTTTTATCAGAATTCAGCCACACCAGTTCAGCGGCTTAGGCGTAAGAGAGCAACAGTCAGACAGAATTACTTTCGAATTGCAAGAAAATATGTTATTGTTATGTATCTATTTATGTATCTTATTTATGAATTGACTAGGAAAGTAAAGTACCTAGTGATTGGTTGGCAAAATGTATTGTGGTTAATATCTGATCGGTTATCGAAAGTGTATTTGAAGTGTAGCAATTTGAGTAATATTTTATGCAAGTACTTGAATTCACAACGTCTTGGTTTCGATTATATCATTAGGTCAGGCGGGTATTGTGGCTTTTTGCCGCACCGGCATTTCATATCTACGGTGAACGCACTGCGCGTTTCTATACCGTGAGTGGCACAAGGAAAATACAGAAATAGCCTATTTTTACAAAAATAACGATCTCATAAACCACTAAAATTTAAGATGTCATATTATAGATATATTCTTTACTTGGTACATTTAATGTAAAGCCTTTATAGGTGTTGATACTATTAAACTGAACGGAGAATAGATTCTGTCTGATCAACCGCTCTCAGTACCTAGATTTATTTAAAATGACCTCCGTGGCCGAGTGGTTTGTATGCCGTGTTTCATGGCGTCGCCTACTCGAGAGGTCTGTCTCCTGGGGGGAGGGTCTGTCTGAACGTCTGTCCCAGACCGAAATCCGAAAATACTACGATAGAGTTGAAATTTGGTACATACATAATGTGTCCAAATATAGGTACTAAACCTATAAATTAGAAAGTAAATAAAAAGTTTTGCAAACAGATTGATTAAATACATTAAATAATATAAATTGTTTTTTTTAAGATAAATAGATTTGAAGGCATTTAACTATCCTCTCCATCAGTTATTGCCGAAACTATTGAATTTTTTTAAAATACTTCAGACAAAAGTTGTTTACATACATTGAAGAAGTTTAATCTGTTTTTACTTACAGATAAAGATTACTTACAGGAAAACTTGGACGAAGTTTATGATGCATACCTAATTAAACCTACTTTTTTAGTCACCGCAAAAATTGGTTCAGATAAAAAATACTTAGGGACTTTAGATAATTGACGCACGGAAAAACCCTCTTTACCTTGATAAAACCTATCATCATGCCTTGAACTTTCAAGGCCACTTTACATGTATGTACATGTTGTACATACTTGCTACTTTAGTGTTATCACTGTTAAAACACATACTTAGTAAGTAGTGTAACCGGTTCTATAATATATACTCGGTTTTGGAATTCACTGTAAGCAAATGTAAGAAGGTTTGCGTTTATAAAATAAATTTCTTTGGAAAGAAAAAATGTTTTTACGGGCTTATTTCTTTTCGGGATTGCATTAGTGGAATGAGCATTAAGTAATTTCTATCGAGGCACAGTTACCTACTTATTTAAATAATGGATATAATATTTGTTTCTTAGGTTTTCACGCAAATAAAACTAGTTTTAACGAATTAATGCACGAACTTTATTTATTTATTGACGTTTCGCAGTCTTTTCAGGTCTGCATCGTCAGAATAATGTAGATATTTGTTAATTATGCCTCGTTGTATAAAATGTTTTAAGCTTTTTGAGCTTTATTAAGAGAGATAAGACATAGCGGATTTCCCGCTCGAATTGGAACGCCCGGGAAGTACCCACCACCTTACACAAGTTCCTAATGAAATAATGCTTAGTACATACCTTTCTGTAATTTTCTAATCCTGTCGATGATTATTGCTCCAGCCTAGTGATTAATCGACACTGGACGTTAAACTACAACGGAGTTTGACAGTTGAGCGGTGAAACAAATCTTTATCATGTCGCGTTTTGGTGCTTATGCTACGAGGCATTGTTCCATGGAAGTTCTAAGTGATAGTTTCTGTGGTATCGAAAGTTTCTATAAACTATGGTAGCCGCTTACCTACATGCGGTACATATGCTTAGATTGCCACCTTTCGTGACAAAATTTTGGAGGGTGCGGAGAATTGTAGGCCGATAGGTATATGTGTTGGACATATACCGAATTTATAATATATCGTTGTCACATCACTAATTCACCATAAAGAATTGTTGCCTAGGCGAGGAACTCCTCGCATTCGATATCGAAGGTTGTTAGCGCGTTGGGTCTGCGTTCCTTCGTGGAAGTTAAACAACTTTTGTAATGACTGGTCATTGATAAGATGACCAAAAACTTAACATTTAGAGCTACTCCGTGAATACACACTACTGCTACACGAATATTGACAGCTCCGTAATTATATCGCATCGTCAAAGTATCCATGAAGACCATAAGCAGCGCCCCTGCCGGACGTAAGAACAAACTGGCTCCTTCCATAAAAAATTACGATGACGATACGATTACGGAGTTATCAAGATTCGTGCTTGGGCTTCTGTTTGCATCCATAGGAATCTGCCAAACTTGAATCAGATGATGATATATTTTTGCAGTAATCCAGCATCACAACACGTCTAAGCCGCTGTTCCTGCACGTCACACATAATGCACCACACGCTGGGAACACCGGCGGACCTCTGCAACCGCCCCTCTATTCTCCTGTCAAGAACAAGCACATCGCCAACTCGAATAGACGACTTTACGCAGGTGAATAACTTTTTTGAGATGCATAAGAATCCTTAAACGGGGATCCCGCGGTTTCGCACTAAGCAGCTTAGAGGGTATTCGCAGGGTTTTTAGCGGATATGATGCCGTAAAGCGCCCGTAAGAGTTACGGGGTCCTCAGTGGGCAGCCACTGTGGGGGCTTGTAAGGTTTGCGGGAGCCAGGTGTGAGGTCCGTTCGGCGGTGTGCCTCTTAAAGGCGCCGTTGTCTGTAAACAGAGTTTTTGCCTGCGTCACAAAAAAAAAGGTGAATAACTTTTAATAGACGACTTTACGCAGGTGAATTACTTTTAATAGACGACTTTACGCAGGTGAATAACTTTTAATAGACGACTGTACGCTAGTGAATTACTTTTTTAATTCCTAATTATGGTCAACTTGCAACAATTATGCTAAAATTCCAATTAGCTAGCTAATTTAAAAAAAATTATGTATGTAATATAAGTAATTCACTAGCGTACAGTCGTCTATTAATAGTTATTTATTATACAAGAGTGGAAAGTTCCTTTTTAACCGCGTGCTCGATTTGGATGACCGAGCAAGCGAAGGATTCTAAAGTTGAATCACGAGCGCAGCGAGTGATTCTAAATTAGAATCCTGAGCGTCAGCGAGGGAAACAAACGAGCACAAGGTGAAAAATCTTTCCACTCGAGTGCAATACGTAACTTTTCATCCCACCTCAGCGAGGAAATGACAAAATGAAAAAGAAAACAATTTATAATGACAAAATATTTAAGCAATAAAACGTGAAAAACTAGAATGGCGCGAAGCACGCAAATAAAACAAAGAAACCAAGAAGGTTCCAAATTTAAATTTTTTCACAATTTAAAAAGTTCTAATCATAAATTTGGCACCATAGAGGTTACATTAAATAGGTTTAATGACGTTTTGAATTTACAATTATATTGAGTACTCATTATATGTGATGTTCTAAATTCAAATCTACTTTGCCGCTCAAGCGAATAAAATAGAATTTTCCAGCCAGATTTCGAAGCGCAAAATTACACTTTCCGAGGTGGTGGGATGAAAAAGTTATTCACCTGAGTTAGCGATTTCAGTGTAGTTGTCTACACTTAGGCTGCTTTGTTTGATATTTATTTAAATGTGACTATACCTAGTTAAAATACTATCGAAAAAGTAACCATTTGACAAAATTTTACACATTTGACTATGTATTTGACGTGACATGCAATTGTCAAAAACTATATATCCTGAGTATGTATTAAATCAAATAACGGGGCATTAGCCTTTTAGCAATTTAGCCCATACAAGAATGTAAAATTGACATTGCCTTTTTTAAATTTTTGTATGGGTAAAATCTAGTTTTACTTAATCGAGGCTTAGCAAAGATGCAAGTGGACCTAAGTAATATTCGTGTTAAAACATACATACCAGCCAGCAGACGGCCACTGCATCTCCTGCGTTAGCGATTTCAGTTCCTTCCAACTACAGAGGTATTTTAAGAGTTTTTATTAGTATCGTTGATTTCTTCCTACGAAGCAGAAAGATGGATCACCTCGAGTATAGTTTTAAGCTCGCTAGGTTGGCATTACTAAAGTTATGAAGTAAAACAGTTTGAAACTCTGTAAATAATATTTGTAACATAAATTATGTCAAAAGGATTAGGTATACTTAAACCGCGTATAAATAAATTACAACTAAAAATAAAATTGTGCTACGCATCATTTGATACATAGCTCTCTTTAATTTTTTAAACTATATAGATACACAGGATATAGATCTATAACAGGTAACACATAATAATGTGATATTACGATTAATTTTGCTACTTTCAATTTCGCAGGAGAAGGTACCTATTGGAAGTTATATGAATATTAGTATAGTACCTATACGTACTTATGTATTGTTTTTGCTAAGAATAAGTAGAAAATTGTCTTTAAGAAGTATGTTGGGCGATATACATGTGAATGAATTTTTCGCATAATTATATTACTTACTCAGCTGACAAATGATGTAGAACTACAGAATTAAAAATGTGGTGCCATCGGTGTGTTGCTGTATTCGCTATTATATATTTTTGACTTGCTTGAAATTAAAAATATATATTTGTTTATTTGTCTGTCATACTGTCACAGATATTATGATCAATACAATTTAATAGTGATAATACGTTAAAATTTTGAAAATGTTTTGTCTGATTCAAATAGAAGTTAGTAAGTACAGTCAAAAACTTGCGACTCGTCCCTGCTTTAGTGGTAAAATTCAATTTCACACGATAAAATATAGCTTTAGTTAATTAGTAATAATGATTCTTTCTGTTGGCGAAGAAACTTGATGCTGAATTCTGAACTTTCCTTTTAACTTCCAGAGATAATGAATGGCGTGGACCGAAGCGTAGGCAGGGTAGTCCGAGCCCTAGCGGAGAAGGGAATCCTAGACGATACTATCATAATATTTGTTTCTGATAACGGAGCACCTACAGTCGGCGATAACAACAATTGGGGCGTGAACCTCCCGCTGAGAGGCAAGAAATATACACCTTGGGAGGGAGGACTTAGAGTTCCAGCTTTCATCTGGCATTCCTCATTCCGTCCAAGAATTTGGAACGGGTTAATGCACATCAGCGATTGGTTGCCCACATTAACCGCCGCGGCTGGGGGCATATTCAAGGGCAAAATCGACGGGGTCAACCAATGGGAACCTATAGTACAAGACGGCGAGTCTAGAAGAAACGAAGTGCTGTTAACAGTTGAGGATAGCGATAGGAATGTGTACGCAGCATACAGAGCTGGAGATTATAAAATAGTTGTAGGAAACGTGTCTGGTTTGAGCAATGATTACTATGGAGCTGAGCTTATGGCTAATAGGAGGACGCCGCCGGAATACTTCCCGGCGCTGACGTCGTGTGAAGTGGCGAGGACGTTCGAGGGTATGGGGATGTATTTGGACTACTTTGATGTTCTCGCGAAGCGGGCGGCGTCGACGGTGACGCAACAAGATCCTGTTAGTGATCCGAGGCCGTGTGTACCTACCCCATGTAAGTTTATGAGTTTGCTGTAAGGAAATTCGTTTTGCTTAGTTTAGTTCAAATCGGGGTTTTGTTTCGAAAGTATAATGACGTTTCTTGCATGCCTGGCAACCGTGATACTAGTACCACTTAGACTTGGTCAGTTTTTCTTTAATTTATAAATGACTAAACAGTAGTCATCTTAACAACATACATAACACATTACTCAGTTCCATTCGGTCGTTTAGCTAACAAGGCCAGACTTATTTATTTAGTTAATGTAAGTTTGATCCTAAGTAGGTATTTCAATTAAACTAAACGGTAATTTAATTTTAATTGCAAGTTATCAATCAGATTGCAGGTACATTATAATTTTTCAAGGTTTTTCTGATAGTTTACCATTAAAAATTTGCTTTAGGCATTGTCCTAATACAACGCGATAACGCGATCATCGCGCGTTTAAACGATGCGACCATCGCGTGATCGCGAACTGGGTGTCCTAATAGAACGCGAATACGCGATCACGATTGCCACACAGTTTGGTCGGGTTAGCCCTGCCCTTCTCCCCGCTTCCTATCGACGCGACGCGATCATCGCGCGAACTTTAGTTAGGACACCTATTCATCATTAATAGGTTTGATTGCGCGTTCGCGCGAACTATGTTCCCGCGAATAGATTTTTAAACATTTTAGTCGCGCGAATGCATCGCTCGATCGCCTATTAGGACACCTATTCTAGATCAATATGTTTGATCGTCGACTCGTACGATGATCGCATCGCTCATTCGCGTTATCGCGTTGTATTAGGACAATGCCTTATTGTTGCAAAAGGGATTTAAATAAGATTAATTTCCCTAATTCTGGTGCAATTAGTACCTAATCCTTTATAATTAGTCAGTGATTTTTATTTTAAATGCAGGGATTTAACCAGGTTCGTGAAAGGCACCGGTTCGAATACTGCCGAGTAGATTTTTTCATTACATTTTTTCATTGTCTGAAGTATCTATCTTAATAAAACTCAAAGGTGACTGACTGACATAGTGATCTATCAACGCACAGCCCAAACCACTGGACGGATCAGCCTGAAATTTGGCATGCAGGTAGATGTTATGACGTAGGCATCTGCTAAGAAAGGATTTTGATCAATTCTACCCCCCAGGGGATAAAATAGGGAATGAAAGTTTGTATGAAACTTTGTCAATTTTAAACCGATCGGGCTCAGACTTTGCATGCAGGTATAAGAAGAATCATAGATGAATGTTATTGTGTATAATACAAGCCTGAGAACAACAACTGTAGTCTACACTTTAGCTCTACACCGAAGCGAAGCGAGGGCGGGCCGCTAGTATAACATAATCTTTCTCTGAAGAGCAGGAACAGGTGCTGTTTAAGTTTTAAAGGATACCTTCGACTTCTGCCCAATTTTGTACCTTGGTACCAATTATTTCAAAAAAAGTATACAATTATACTTAAAAGGACTCACTCATCAATATCTCAATGAATTCAACAGCAAATGGGTGAAAAGCAGAATTAAAATATTTTAAAAAGGGAAATCTGCGTTATTAAACTGCCTTGTAGCCAACCCTTTCAATTATTATATATGTATTTTAATAAGTTTGTAATATAATATTTTAAGCTTTTACCTATCAGATTTATTTTTTTATGATTTGCGTAGCTTATTTTAATAATTCAAAGATGCACATTTACATTAATATACTATTTGTGTTGCCATTCATTTAATTGTTTAAACGACATTTTTATGTGCTACAAATGGATAATAAATTCCATTTATATATTGAATGACCTCGGCGTATTTTTTTTACCTTAGATTAAAACAAAAAGGGAAGATACGGTACGATCATACTAGTTGCATCAAATAAAACATGATCCGACTCAACTACATAAGCAACTCTCACACGCACATGTCTGTAAATAAACATTCAATCGAGAGAGCGAGACGGAACTGTACGCTTTAACGCAGCGCGAGCGAAACGGCGAGTCCGCTTCCGAGTCCGTAGGGCTGAGCTGTTTTGTTGTCCTTTTCTTGATAACAAAATGGCGATTATGTGAATAACATTCACGACAAACCGTCATGTTTGAGAAAAATATGTTATTACAGTTTTACGAATGATAAGTGTTGCCGAGGCATTTGTTATTAGATTTTGAATTATTTGTGTTCTTTATAAAAGCATCGAAGGCAGTGTTATATCTTTATAACACAGGATAAACGCAATATTGTTATATTAAGTGCACATGAAGCGTGTTTGAATGTCCAATAGGGTATTTGACAGTATTAAAAATAAAATGCCAATTGTTAGCATCTATGTTTAAAATGAATATTTTTACAAAAAGAAATATTCATAATTTTACTAAAAACCCACGAAAAAGATAATAGTCTTCTTATCTATTGTCACGTGACCCAAAACGCTTGGGATTGGCGGAGCCTAAAATGACGTCACACGCAAGTAAAGTAAAGTAAAGTGACATTACATTCTATCGTTTGACGTTTTGATGGGTGTATTCCGTAATATATACCAGTATACTGACCAGTGCTAATGACGACATGAATCGACGCTATACTGGTGAATTGTTCCGAAATATACTGGCCAGTGCACTGACGTCATAAATCGACGAAATATTAAAATATTGCGAATAGAGACGATTTTTTATTCACCTCATCAATCAAATGGAATTATTTTTGTTCGGATGCCATTATTGTTCTTTAAATAAAAATGGTTGCCTGTAAAGTCGGTTTTACGGGCGAAGATTTTACGTGACAACGTCTTTTTCTCGGTAGAATATTTATTGATATGAATATAATTAAATTGCACAATAGGAACAAGGAATTGAATGAAAATAAGAATTGCACAAATTTTAACTATAGAAATATATTTTGTTTACTAAAACATTGTACATGTAAACTTAAACTTAACACGAGAGACTCATCGTAACGTTACCGAGCGTTACACTTTTTCATAAGTGACTCCCAGCCGCAACCTAATTTAAGACGTTGTCACGTCAAAAAGAAATAAAATTCGAATGCATCTGACGCACGTCATATTCGTTTTCCCGGTAAAAATATGGTAGCATACCAGTACAATATGGCGTCGGATTCGTGACGTGATAACCACTTGCCAGTATACTGATGTATATTTCGGAATATACCCAGTAACAGTCGTGTGACGTCACACACTAGTAAGACGAAAATGGAGTTTTTGATTTGGTTATTTTTACTGAAATACACAACAGAATGATGAATATCCATTTTACCGACTCCATAAACATTAGTCAATAACGTGAGATCGTTTTCAAAAACTTGTCAAATACCCTATTGTGACTAAAGCGAATTATGGTCATGCACCTCAATTTAAACGGATCAGTTTTGAGCCGCGAGTGCCGTATCTTCACTTTTTGTTTTAATCTAAGTTTTCTACACATAAATGTATGATAATACTTGATGTTCAAGATTGGGCAAAGTTACAACTGAGCAAAGAAAAACTCCTTTAGAAAATTAAACTCAATGCGCAGTTAAACGACTTTGCTCATACAATATGGCTTTCCAGCTCGCGGGTGCCTGTTCAATGTTCGCCGAGATCCTGCAGAGAGGCACGATCTTTGGAATGCCGCGAACAAAATAGCTGTCCTTCTAACGAGTAGACTACGAGGTCTTTGGGCATCACAGAAGAGAAGAGGACCCCCGAATCTCCAAGCGGAATCAGACCCCGCAAATTTCGACTACCTATGGACACCGTGGATCTTCAACGGCACGAGTGCCACCAAAAATGACACAGTTAACGGAACTTCAAAATCCAATTGCAGGGACACTACAAAAGCTAATGTTATAAATTGTAACGGAACAACGGGTATAAGAAACTTTTTGTGTTTACTTAGGAGCGTTTTTTGAGTTTAATTCATTTTGGTAACCTTAAAGGCATTATTTGTTAGTGAGTAATCAATCAATCATTACAATCAGTGAGATGAAACTGTGAGATAAATAGGAAAGTAGACAATAATTAGACTAACGAACGTAAAGTGAAAAGTAGTGATTTGCCGAGAGATTTATATTTATTTGTTTCCTATTAAAAGCTTTGGTATTTTCTGTGTTATCTTGTTCTAAAAAATGCAAATAAATATTTTGTAAAAGCTTTTAATTTTTGTTATCTATTTATTTGTGGTAAAATAGATATTAAAAATAGATTAACCACATAGCAGTTAGGTACCCACTTATATGATTGTAATATATATGCAGAAATATTCAACATTTACCAAGTCATAGTTTTAATAAATGTATAACTATTTGATATATAACTATATGTATACTTCCAAGCCTAACATTTATTTTAAATTTTTCTCTTACTTCAAGTACCTTCCCTTCTATCTGGCGACACTCTCTTACTATCCCCATTCCTAAAAATACCTCACCATCCTCTCTAAATCACTACAGGCCCATATCAATATTACCTTTTCTATCTAAAATTTTAGAAAGTGCTGTACATAACCAACTGTCTACTTTTATCTTTCGTCATAACATACTTAGTCCTTTACAATCTGGGTTTCGACCCGGTCACAGTACAACCACTGCTCTCCTTAATGTTCTGGACGACGTTCGGAGCGGCATGGAGAAGTCGCAGTTGACAATAATGGTCTTGATCGATTTTTCTAACGCATTTAATATGGTCAACTACGACATTCTCCTTGCAATCCTTACTCACATGGGAGCCTCTTCTTCGGCGAGGACCTGGTTCTCTTCGTATCTTCGTGGACGCCAGCAGGCTGTTCGAATCGATCAGACTATTTCAAGCTGGGCTGATATCACTGCTGGTGTTCCACAGGGCGGTATTCTTTCTCCTCTTCTTTTTTCACTTTTTATTAATTTCCTCACCACTCTAATTCAATGCTCTTACCATCTGTATGCCGACGATCTCCAACTCTACGTTCAAGCTGATAAGCATAACTTAGACGCTGCTATCATACGCTTAAACCAAGACCTACAAAGAATTTCTGATTGGTCCAAGTGTTATGGTATCTATGTAAACCCATCGAAATGCCAGGCTATTATTTTAGGTAGTTCTCGTCAATTAGCTACGCTTGATCTGAGTAACTTGAATGCGGTAATTTATAATGGTAATGTTATCCAGTATCTACCCAGCGTTAGGAATCTAGGCTTATTTATCGATACTACTCTCAGCTGGGAAGTTCATGTTCAAGAAGTTAGTCGCAAGGTGATTAACACACTTCGAGCACTGTATCGTCTTAAGCACTTTCTCCCTTCCTGTACCAAAGTCGCACTCGTCCAGTCTCTTATTCTCCCTATTCTCGACTACGCCGACATCTGCTATTCTGACATCACTCAAAACCTTCTTATCAAATTGGATCGTTTGCTCAACAGCGGTATTCGCTTCATTTTCGGGTTACGTAAATACGACCACATTTCTCCCTTTAGAAAAGAACTTCAATGGTTGCCAATCAATGGCCGAAGAAACCTTAGATTACTTTGCATGCTCTTCAAGCTTTTATACGATCCATGTGCCCCAGAGTACCTGAAATCTAGATTTCAATTTCTGGGCACTTCCAATCAACGTGATCTTCGCTCGTGCAGAAATCTTACACTACAAATCCCCGTTAATCATTCTGGGTTTGGATCCAAATCGTTCACTATTACTGCCATACGCCTGTGGAATGCTCTACCACTAAGCATACGTAGTACTGAAAATAAGTTTGAGTTCAAAAAACTTGTGCGTGAACACTACCTGACTACGTGATTTTTCCCTATAGTTTGCATTGATATATATTATATTTATTGTATTTTATGCATATGTATATATATATATTTATTTATATGTGTATGTTTATGTATGGTTATATGAGTATGTTATATATGTGCATCAATTTGTATTTAAGTATTATTATTTTATTGCTGTTATTTTGTTATTGTTCATTTTATTTAATTTTAGCAACTTTGCTCTATCGCCATACTATTTGTCTCCAATAATCATACTGGTTGACTGGTAGAGAATGCCTATGGCATTAAGTCCGCCGTTTGCTTATGTTTGGCAATAAAGTTTAAATAAAAATAAATAAAAAATAATATATAAATTATAAGTTTAAGTAAACAGAATAAAATGAAACAGCCTTAAGTATGTTTTTCTACTACTCCTTCCTCCGACATCGGAGTCTATTCTATCTAGCTACTCTTTCATACTAGCTCTCGCCTACGACCTCTTTTATATCTTATTTATTATTATTTTCAGGATTGTACACACGGAGAACAAATAGGTTTTTATTTAATAAGCAAAATTTTCTTATTCTGCTTCAGCTTTATGTTGAGATCTTTCTTTAATATACCTATATTTTGATTCTGACTGATGTTATCAATTACAAATAATGGTCAGTATTAATTACTATCAATGTGGGTATTGACGCTGCAAAAAAAAAACCCTTACATCCTAACCCTGGTCCATCTAGGTAAAATAATATTAGGTTTTCATGCCTTGAAAACCTGATACTACGTAAGTAAGCAGCAACGTTTTCATGCTTTATATTGAAAGCACTTCGCACGTTTCTTACGAAGAAAGCATAAAACACGGTTTTAAGATTGAGTCAGTTCTGAAAACTGTTATAAGATGGCGCCACTGGTGTCCGCATGTGGCACGTATTCAAAATGTTTTTTTCTTTTTTCTTAAGTGTTTTACTCTTGCAGGTTTTGTAAGTAGATTGTTTTTTTAGTTACCCTTTGGGTAAAAACAGGACCCTATTACTAAGACTTCACTGTTCTTCTGTGTTTGTCGCCAGGATGTATCTCATGAACCGTGATAGCTAGACAGTTGAAATTTTCACAGGTGATGTATTTCTGTTGCCGCTATGACAAACAATACTAAAAACAGGTAAATTTACAAAATCTATACACCCGATTGCTTAAATATTACTTCAATAAACACTGAAAAGAAAAAACAAGACCAGAATTCTATAATTCTGCTAAGTAAGGAACAAAGCTACTTTAATAGTCGGGACCCATTATATATTCAAGAATGATTTTTTTTAAATAATGGGTTCAATTAGAAAGTAATTGCTATAATTGTACCAATTATAGCAATTACTTTCTATATTTTTTCTACCTATAAACAAAATGTGAATAAGTATGTATAAATTAGTTAGTAACGAATCACTGTTTACCACAAACACTAAGTAACTTTTACAAATATATAATGAAATAAACCTATTACTTCGTCTATGTTTGTAACAAATAATCTTCTTTCTATTAACAAAGTCTTATTTCTTATTTTATATTATAATGAGAAATGCGAATTATGTTATAATAAGAAATAACCTATTATTCGCTAGTAAACCTTCAGTAACATGAAGTAACATCGTTAAAATAAATTTTGAACACAGTATAATTCTGGGTTGTTTATAAAATTTTCATAATCGTATATACCTATTATGATAATTTATTCTTCATCGTTTATTAAGAAGGAAATTTATCGCAGTTTTATTGTAAGTACTTCGTATAGGATGACATACTGCGAGAGGTCCATTTTTCTTTTCATCCTAGGTTAAATATGTTTATAAACACCAAAATTCATCAAAAATTCTTCTCCCACCATTCCCGCAATATACTCCTGCCCCCAAGCATGAGCACCGCGATATGATATAAAACGCGTTTTCGTCACGTTCAATTGTTAAATTACTATGGAGTTTGACAGTTAGACGTGATACAAAACGTGATATAATGTAAATTGTGGTGCTCATGCTACGGGGACTGCATAGTACACCGCGCTATCACTTTATCATCGTTGTAACTTTTTCAATATTTGTCGAAATGACATAGCGTAAGAGACAAATTGTCTTTAAATATCAAAAGCGATACAAGTATTCGTTTTAATAAAACAGTAAATTTGTAAATACAAAATGTGCATTTTTGAAATGGATATCAAACAATATTTTATTTTTGATTCACATTTTAGCGATAATAACTTACACATTAAAAATATATACATACAGGGTTAATTTTAATTTTAAAATTAACTCTGTATATGCTGTCGCGGACTTTTTTGTAGGACTATTTAAGAGATGCATTTCCACTACACATTAATCATCATCATCATCATCATGTCAGCCGTACGACGCCCACTGCTGAGCACAGGCCTCCCCCAAGGATCTCCACACCTATCGATCCTGCGCCACTCGCATACTTCCCGCGACCTTCACAAGATCGTCGGTCCACCTTACATGTGGCCCGCCCACTGAGCGTCGTCCGGTGAGTGGTCGCCATTCCAGAACCTTTCCGCCCCAACGTCCATCGGTTCTTCTTGCTACGTGTCCCGCCCACTGCCACTTCAGCAGAGCAATCGTTCGAGCGATATCGGTTACTTTAGTTCTCCTACGGATTTCCTCATTTCTGATTCTATCGCGTAGGGAAACACCGAGCATCGCTCTCTTCATTGCTCGCTGTGTGACCTTGAGCATTCTTATGAGATCCGCAGTAAAGGACCACGTCTCGCTTCCGTAGGTCATCACTGGCAACACACACTAGTCAAAGACTTTTGTCTTGAGACACTGAGGTAATTTGGACGCGAAGATTTTCCGTAGCTTCCCGAACGCTGCCCATCCGAGCTGGATACGACGAGAGATCTCTTACGCCAAGCAAAATGGCAGATTATACTCTACTGTCTTCTGTATAACCTGCCGCAGCGTATGAATGTGATCTATGGTACTGAAGCTTTTCGGAAACCAGCTTGTTCGGGAGGTTGGAAACCTGCGTGCGAGGCGATTCGTAATGACTCTCGAAGACAACTTATAAATATGCCTAAGAAGCGAAATTGGTCGATAGTTTTTCAAGAGTACTTTGTCAGCTTTCTTGAAGAACAGGACAACCTCACCTCTAGCCCATGCTTTTGGCGTTCTGCCTTCGAGGATGATGGAATTGAAAAGCCTCTGGAGGACTTTAAATATCGGCTTCCGCCCGCTCTCAGAAGTTCTGCTGTGATTCCATCATCGCCCGCCGCCTTGTTGTTTTTAATTTGTTTGACAGCCATACTAATCTCATACAGGCTGACGTCCGGGATTTCTTCAGTGTAGTGTCGAGTAAGCTTGGATCTGGGGTATTGCTTTCAACAGGTGCCTGCGTGGAATATAGCTGTCCATAGAAACTCTCAATATCCTTCAGGATTTCAGCCTTAGACGAAATGATGCTACCGCTGTCAGTCTTCAGCTTCGTCAGTTGGCTTTGCCCAATAGAAAGATCTCTCGCGAACACTTTGGAGCCTTTGTTGCGCTCGATAGCCTCTTTTATACAATACGTATTATATCGGCGAAGATCGCTCGTCAAGGACTGTGATATTTGTCTATTTAGCCGCCGGTACTGACTTGCATCTCCTGAATTCTGTAGTCTCATTTCGTTCCGCTGTTCCATGAGTAGGAGAGTTTTGTCAGTAAGTTTCTTAATTTTGGTACGGTGGGCTTTAAAATACTTGGACCCTACCGTACGGACAGTATCCATCACCGTGTTGATCAGATCGTCCACATCTAAGCTGTTTTCAAAGGATTGGAAGCGGAGACTTTATCATTCGAGATCTTTCGAGCTTAATGTTGATATTCAATGTGCCTCGTACTAACCGGTGATCACTTCCCGTTTTAACGGCGTTGATCACAGAGTCATCATTGAATATTAACTTTTTGTCGACATGATAAAGTCGATCTCGTTTCGGACTTTGCCGTCTGGACTCATCCAGGTCCATTTTCGATTTTGGGGTTTCCTGAAGAAGGAGTTCATCATAAAGAGGTTCTCCTTCTCCATAAAATCTACCAACATCTGTCCTCTGGCATTCCGTTGTCCAACTCCAAATTGCCTCACTCTCAACTCATCCTTACCACACACACTCATTCTATCCAACTAATTTTTCCCGCCTTGTGTGACACTTATTGTTATTTTTTGGCTAATTCACTCAATAGCTGCATAAATTAATTATTATCTAAGTATATGTTTTTATTATATATGATATTATTGTTTAGTTTCATTAAAATTCTTTTGTTTTTTTGATGAAAGAGTAACAAAAATTCAGTAAAAGTGCAAGTGGTTAATATACAACTTTAAATCGTTGTAGATCCTAAAGTGTCGCCGCATACGGGCCACACGCCACAATCACAAACGCCGCCACGGGAAGCAAGAAGCTGCTACTAAAGTGGCTGAAGCGCGCGACAGCGGCCGACTAAGGTAAGCGAGAGAGGGGTGGGGAAATCGCGCGTGTGAGGTTGAGGTGTGGCAGCGTTTGGTATCGGCGCATTAAGTGGCCGGTGCGGGTCACAAGAAGCGAGTAACGACGATTTGTAGCATGTGGCGCCGGCACCGGCGGCGTGCCGTGTGTGGCGAGTCCACATAAAATGTATGAAAACTATAAGAAATATGCCGCTGGCGGCATTTTGTGGTTGTGGTCGGTGGCCCCTGTGCGGCGCTACAAACAGTCATATAAAAAAAGAAATGATGTAAGGAACCTGAACATGATTTTCGTTTATCTAGACAATGATACCCTAGGGACTCGACATATTTCGTCAATTAACTTTTTTCTTTCTCACAATATGGCGTATAATTGTCCCCATATTGAATTTCGATTACTATCAAATCTTTAGTAGCACTTCCATTATTAAACCGAATCGATTGATGTATGAATCATCATATCAGTCTATGTGTTTGGCCTCTAGTGTGCCACAAAGGAACATACATACATATATATACTCTTAATAAATACCTTGTCTTCGCGTCGCGCTTTTCGCTCTTGCATTGCGCAGTCGGGTAAAAAACAGAATAAAATACATGTTTAAGGATCCCACAGTTATTAATTATGTATTATTAGTTTCGGAGTTATCTTACCTTGTACTGTAAACTGACTCTTCGGGGAAATAAAAATTATTTTTATTTTCATACAGCTAACGTGTTTTTGCTCTATCTATATTAATAACGGCAACAGTAAACAAAAACTCACTTTAAATATAAATAATTAAATTAAACTACATATTTAAATACAACAGACGTGATTTTTTGCCGTTGTTTTCTCAATAATTTAATGAAGTGACTAATATTGTAAAGATAATGGTAAGGAACACTTTGTGCACGAATCCGAATTCCACTTGGATGGTTT